GTTAATATATATATATATATATATATATATATATATATATATATATATATATATATATATATATATATTTATTCATATTCATTAGGTATAGGCCAACTATTTTGTGTATTTAAAATATGTCTATTATTATTATTATTATTATTATTATTATTATTAAGTGTCATTTAATAAATTTGTATGAATATTAAGTAATTGGTTTCACTCAAATATAATTAATCTGGAGATTTTGTTAAATTGCTATCGGCAATTTATTATTTTCCATTCGAAATATGTTATAATTTAAACATTTTTTCCCGCAAATTTTTACCAATAAGACTACATGACGGTAAAAATTTCTTTTTGTTTTTTTTTTTTTTTTACCGCGTTTAGGTTTTATTTTTATATACAAATACCAAAAAAAAAAAATTAACAAATATTGTCAAGTAAAATAAAAATAAATTTCGAAATTAATAATCTATATTTTTGTAAAATTTAAAAATAGGAAAAAAAAAAATTAGGTTTTGAAAATGTCGCCATATCTGCTTGTTTGCGACATTTACTTGTCGCAACTTTAAAAAAAAATGATTTGGTATTAGTTATGTGTTATAGAATAAGCTTTTTTATAATTAATAATTTCTTTATTCTTGAATATGTATTTATTAAAATTATTTAATTTATATTTTGTTATATTTTTATCTTTTAAAATATTCTTACTGTTACACCGATTATAAGTTATTTTTTTACTGTGTGAAGTTTTTTTTTTTTGCGAAGTGTTAAATTGTCCGACATATTGAAATGGAAATATAATAGGGTGTGGGTTTTCTAATTGAAAGCCAAAATTTCAAATGATTTTTAAATTACATTCCTACTTATATATATTGCAAATCACAGTGGTAAGCCTTTAGTTTAATTATTGTTAATTTTTTCTTTTTTGTTTCGTTTTTTTTAGACTTTTTCAAATTTAAAACTTGTTTGGTTCGTTTTGTATGTACTTTATATTGACGATGCAAAAAAAAAAAAATTCTTTTATGTTATAATCAAACTTTTTTTTTTTGGGAATTGTTTTTATTTTAAATTATTAATTATTGATTAATTCTAAAATCTTTAAAACTCAACTCAATAAACTTTATTGAGTAAATCAAAGATCGGTTTTCCTAAGGATATTGAATACCTGAATTAAAATGTAAATTTGATTTTGAACACTATTAACATTCTTCTTCGTGCTTTTTTTTTATTTCAGAAAAAATTGTTTAATCTTTTAAATAAAAGTTTAATTCAAAATTTAAATTTCAAAATCAAATGCTACCCAAATGTTTTATAAAAAAACATCCACCTACTATTTTCTATAAATAGTATTAATTAATTAAAAAAAAAAAAAAATCCATAATGCTCATCATTAAATTTAAATTTTTTTTTTCTTTTAAATTAACAAAAGAATATCAATTTGCATATAATTTAATTTTTTGACTTTTTTTTTTTTGCAGTTACTTGAAATTATATATGATTTAAAATTTTCTTTTTATTAAATTTTGAAAAAAATCTATTTTTACAGGAATACACAAACTTTTTTATTAAAGTTTGTTTAATAATTTTTCGTCAATATTAATATATTAAAAGGAACATTATATTTACTCCTCTTCGAAATTCTGTTAAATTCAGGAGTTTTCATTTCATTATTTTTAAATTTTTTAAAAACCCTAATAAAATTTATAATTATGAAAATAATAATTTTATTCATTTATAATTTTTGTACTTTTAGGTATTGTTTTGATGATTTTCAAGGACTAAATATTGTTATAAGTAATTAAGTTTTAGGACGACACTCATCAAGAGGAATAAAAAATTAAAATAATGTTATAACAATATCCTGATTTTTAAAACAAAAAAGTTAATTTAAGTATAGGTACTGTTTCAATTTATAACATTGCTTGTTGTTTTAATTTTAATTTTTCTTTTTAAAAAAAAAAATCAAATTTTCAAGGTTATTAAAAAAAATTTTTAGTTTCATCATTATTATTATCTTTGTCAAAATTCATTTTTCTTAAATTCTATAAATAATGTAATTTTTTTTTCTGTATTTACATATTTATTTGATTACGAATAATATTTAAAAAAAAAAATAATTATTTTAATTATGAATTTATTTATTTTTCTTTTATTTCTTATTTGAAATTAATGAATGTTTGAAAAAAATAAAAGTTTTGTAACCTATCATATAATATTTCAATTTATTTTTTTGTGTGCTAGTTATTGTAAATATTTAACATTTATATTTGTTTCTATGTCATTGATAGTTTCTGTTTAAAAAAATTATAAAATAGTTTACCTTATAATTTTACTACATGTCAACACTGTTTATATTCTTTTCATTAGCTTATGATTGATAAAAGCTTTGTTTTTTTTTTTTTTTTTTTTTTTTTTATGAATCTCATAATGTAAAAAGTTAATTTTGAAAATTTGATCATATTTTATATTTGTATTTAACCTTTATTCAAGGTTTTTTTTTCAATTGTTGATAATATTTCAATTTTTCTTAATAATTTGTAATTTTTTAAATGTATATATATTTTTTTCAGTATAATAGTAAATATTTTTCTGAATGTTTATTACGTGATATGCAGTAATGGACAGCGGAAAAATAACTCATTCGCAGTCTCAGCCCGGTGGTATAGACAGAACACCACCAGGCACTCCAAAAAAGGGTGGGAAAATGTTAGCAATAAGGGTTCAAATGTTGGATGATACTGTTACCCTTTTTCAAATACAGGTTTGATTCTTAAACTTTCTTTAAAACTAAATAAAAAATGATTCTTGTTTTAATATTAATTTTCTTTGATTTTCAGGCTAAAGCTTTGGCCCGAGTATTATTTGACCAAGTTTGCAGTCAATTACATCTTTTGGAATCTGATTATTTCGGATTAGAATATCAGGAAATGAATGGAACAAAAGTTAGTTTCAACGTTAAACGTTCATAAATGAATTCATTTATACTTTCATATTCTTTTTTAAAATAGCATTGCATGCGATAAGTATAATACACAAATAATAACTAATTGATATCTAGAAAACTGTCAAAAATTGAAAGCTTTCCAATTAACTTTAAATAACTTCTTTCAATTTCTATGAATATTTTCGATATAACTTGTATTACAATCTCTAAGAAATTTAAAAAAAATATATATATATTTTCGATTCTATTGGCAAACAGAATAATTTTTACATTATTATACTTGATTAATTTTAAAATTTTAAAAACAATGTCATTAAAATGATGTCAGTAATTATTATTGTAATGAATTAATAGTATGTAATAAGGCTTTTAAATTTGTTTTATGTTCTTTTACTTAGTAAACGCATGTTTTTTAATTGCAGTATTGGTTAGATTTAGAAAAACCTCTTTCCCGGCAAGTAGGACTCTCATTAGTGGACACAATGGTGAAGTTTTGCGTTAAATTTTATACCCCAGATCCTTCTCAATTAGAAGAAGAGTTCACTAGATATTTGTTTTGCTTGCAAATCAAAAGAGATCTCTCACAAGGTTTGTTGCAATGTAATGGTAATACTGCAGCACTTATGGCATCTTATATTGTACAAGGTACTTTCTGTGGAAAATAATTTTACAATGCTAATTTAATCAAATTAGAAATGCTGTGTATGTTTATTTCTATATTTTAGCCGAATGCGGAGATTATGTTGCTGAAGATTATCCCGATTATCGGTATTTATCAACCTATAAGTTTATGCCTAATCAAGACCAAGAACTTGAAAAGCGCATAATGGAAAATCACAAAAAGCATGCGTAAGGCTGTTGAAAACTTATTATTTTCATTTAAAAAATTTATTTTTTAAAACAAGTAGAAATTATTTTGAACCCTAAATGGTATTTAAATTAAAAATTTGGACAGGAATTCAGGTATCGACGACCATTGATTTGATGGTCAATTGTCAGGAATTAAATAATTAAATATCATTAATGAGCTTTATAAAAACTTTAAAATTAATATAAATTTAAAAACAAGTAAAACCTCAAAACTTTAACGTTTTTTTTAAATATTCGAAAAGCTATAATAATAATAATAAATATTATTTCACAGAGGACAATCACCTGCTGAGGCTGATTTAAATTTACTAGAGACTGCGAGACGATGTGAGCTTTACGGAATTAAAATGCATCCGGCAAAGGTAATTTTAAACACCCACCATTAATATTTTAAATGATCCAAAAATCTAAAAATATAATTTTAATTTATATTTTTAGAAAATTTATAATTTTTTTTTTTTTTTATGATTTTATTCTTATTTTTATACATTTGATTAAATCTTTTTTCTGAATTACTGCTGTTAATTTGCTTATCATGCATTTACAGGATCACGAAGGCGTACCTTTAAATCTTGCTGTGGCTCACATGGGAATAGTAGTGTTTCAAAATTTTACTAAAATTAACACGTTTTCTTGGGCGAAAATTCGAAAAATTTCATTTAAACGAAGAAGATTTTTGGTTAAACTTCACCCGGAAGGATACGTAAGTAATTTTACAATTAAAGTTATTGTTTAGAAAAAATTTATCATTTGCTATATGTATGTATCTGAGTCGTAAAATTTTCTTTTTATTTTTTTAGGGATATTATAAAGATACGGTGGAGTTTTTTTTCGAAGGTAGAAACGAATGTAAAAATTTTTGGAAAAAATGCGTCGAAAATCATGGATTTTTTAGATGTTCTGTTGTTAAAAAAGTTCCGAGGCATAAAACAAGAGTTCTTAGTAGAGGATCATCATTTAGGTAAAATAATAATATTTTTCATATTAAGTTAATAATTTATTTTATTATTATTGTTTTTTTTTTTTCATAAATTTAAATTTTAAATTTTAGGTACAGCGGACGAACTCAAAAACAAATAGTAGACTTTGTACGAGAAAATTATGTGAAAAGACAAACATTTCAAAGGTAAGTGTTTTATTTTATTTATTAATTTTAAACAGCATTATTATAAAGGCTTTGATAAAAAAAAATTTGAGTTTAAATGTTGCCTCCGTATTAAACTGGTTACCTTTTTTTAATAATTTTTCATTTTCATTGCTTTATTTATTATTATTATTTCTCGATATTTGTCAATTTAATAAAAGTTATTAAAGTATAATATATAGCTTATATTATTCAATTATTGGCTATAAATATACTTTGGTAATTCAAAAAAAAAAAAAATTTTAAATAATTAAAAAAAAAAGAATTTATTTCACGGCTTTTTTTTTTTTTTTTTACTTAATTCGTTTGTTTTTTATTATATTATTTGTTAAGCATAATTTAGCCTGATTTTCTAAGCATTTTAATTTTTTTAAATTTTATTCGAGGAAAAAAAATATTAGTTTTATTGTAGAAATAGAAAATATATATTTTTTTTCTTTTAAACGAGGAAACAATTTACCTTTTAATTAAATAATAATTTTTGTTTGACGTTATAAAATAGGATGAAAACAGAAAAATACTAATAATGTAAAAAATAATTATCGATAATCGTTATTTGTGAAATTAAAAAGAAAAGTTTTCAATTTCTTCGTGTTTTATAAATATATTCTATCATTGAAAAAGTAAATAATTTAAATAAGTTTTACATTTAAATTACAATGTGTAACAGGATAAAACAAATTAATAATATTTTATTGTCAAATTTTCGAAAATGGTTTAATTACAAAAAAAAAAAAGAAATTTACTTTCACTAAAACTTGATGAAAATTCAAAAATTTTTTTGTTATTATTATTATTTTATTTTATTTTTTTAAATTTTCAGTTAAAATTTTAATAAGGGTTAAAATTATTTTCTTTTTTTTTTTTTTTTTTACCAATTTAAAATATTTTTAAATGATAAAAAAAAATTCCATATTGATATCGTTACCATTATTATTATTATTATTTTCATTTCGTGTACTTGTCGGGGGTTTTAAGCATTATTATTATTATTATTATTATTGATTTATATTTATTAATTGTATGTTTTTGTGTTGATGTAGAAGTTGAACCTTTTCCCTTCTATTTATTCCCGCCCCCTTTCTCCGAAAACTTTTTGTTTTAAAAAAAAAAAATTAAAGGAAGGGAAGAGGGAAGAGTTTTTATTTTTTGCTATTTAAAAAAAAAAAAAAATAAGAAAATTTGCTTTTAAAAAAATTAAAACTTCTACTACTATTTTTTTTTTTTATTTTATTGAACTGAATTTAACAAAATTATAAAAAAGAAATTAAATTTTTTTTTTTTTTTTTTAAAATGAAAATTTATAAATTTATTGTATATTTAATAGTGTGAGGTTGAATATTATTTATATATACACATGTATTTTATTATTATATTTTATCGATTTAAGGTTTCACTGTAAATACCTAATTTCAATTTTTAAATTTTTTTACAATTTTCTCGTTAAAAAAAAGCAAACTTGTTTAAGTGATCTTTTTCTTTGTCTAATATTATTATTATTATTATTTTTTTTTTCAACAAAAGCTTATTAAATTATAATGTTTCAATTTAACTTCGTAATGTTGCAAATAATTTTTTTTTTTTTTTTTGGACTTCTTGTTTTAGAATTTATTCACGTCAAAAAATCTTTAGCGTAATAATGCATTTTACTATTAATAGGGACAAAAAAAAATTCAGTTCGAGACGTAAAAAAAAAAAAAAAAAAAAAAAGATTAATTAAAAGCATTTATTTATTAATATTCCTTCTTCTCTTCCTAGGTCTCAATCATTCCGACATTCAAGCTCTGCACATTCTAGCGTTGCAAATGTTGGTACCAGTATTTCCGCTCACCCGTTACTTCCATTGGGAGAAAATGCAACAAGTAAGTATTATTTGCATTAGCCTTATGAGAAGTACTGGTACCTTTTAGTTTTTTTTTTTTATTTTTATTTTAGCTGTGTAGTTGTTTTTATTTTACTTTGCATTTAAAACAAAAAATACTTTAATTAAGGTTTCATTTTTATCATTCAATTATCGTATTTCTCTTAAGGTTTTTATTTTTTTGTTATTTTTAATTTTTAAGCGGAAACGCCAGCATCTCTCTCATGCGGCTCAATGACCTTGACTTCATCGCCACTTCATGCTGTCGACATAAATACGGAAGGAATGTCATCTCCCCGTACAACATCCATCTCTCCAGGTACTTCAATCACGTTGAGCCCTCAACACTATTATCTTCCCGAGAATCTTTACCGCCAAGCAGGTAAAAAAAAAAAAATTAATTTTTTATTCCGTTACGGAAATCTAAATTTTATATATAACTTTCACTCGCGCTTCTTTTTTTTCTCAAAAGCAATTTAATTTTTCACCGAGTAACACATTGTTTCGACATAAAAATTTTTCATTGTGCAATGTATATATATTTGTGGTTGTGGTGTTGTCATTTTAAAAATAATGGCTACTGCTTCTTTTCTTTTTTACTGCTTACGAATTGCGATAGATCATCGATCTACGAAGACGAAAGTTTTTCAAGACCACTCTCTTCGTGGAATCTCACCCCTCCACAGTCCTGCAGGCACTGTCTCAGCTGTCAGCAACAACTTAGCAAATCTTTTTAACGATGATAAAAGTGATGCAATTAATGATAATAGCACTTTAGAAAGTTATAACCCAAATTTAAACTGCTTGAAATACGCTAGTTTTAACGAAATGTATTCAAATTTTTATAGTTCGTTCAGAAGTTTAGTTAAAAATTCAATTAGTAACGCAAATGATGTTGAAAATGCGGAAATTGATATTTGCGAAATGAGTAGTGGTGGTGGTGGTGGTGGATTTTCTAATAAAAATAGTAAAAGTAATGAATGTATTTTAACGTCTGCCAACGGTAAAAAAGTTGAACTGCAAGAAGATTATGCCTGGCGACGAAGTTTAAGCTATAAAGATATTAATTTTGAAAAGAGTCGTTTATCGGAAGATAAAAATTTCGACGTGGATTCAAAAGACGTTTGCTGTAATCGAAAGTGTTCCATTCTGTCGGAAACCTATAGAGAAAATCGAAAGTGTTATTCTGCGGCGATGAGTAAAAATTCATCCATCGAACACACGAGCGATTACATATTTAACATGAAAATATATTCCAATAGTTATCCCGGTACGACGAGTAACTTATCTACCGCAACAACAAATGAAATCGAATTTGAAAATCCCTTGGCAGGAGTTATAGACGGTATCTGTCATTCACAGGAAGACGTTCTATCTCACGACGATGTCAGTCACGATTCTTACGAATTGTTAGAAAAAGAGTTGGATGTTTTTAATAACGAATCGGGGGTTGAAGAAAAACCGAAAGAAGATGATAGTGAAATCTGCAGAGCTAGGTCGTACAGTTGGGGATCAGATAAATGTCTGCTCGAACAAGGACCTCTCTATAGCAATATCGATCCCGCGTACGTGAGGTTTAGAGATAACGGTTTTCGGTCATTGGAAAGGGAAAAAAATACAAAATATTATAACGATGGGGATTTTAGATCTCTCGATAGGAATACTTTTAAAAAATTAAGTAATAGGGACAACAAAGAAAGTAAAATTGTTTCTGGGGCTCTCAAACACACCATAGATGGGTCAGAGAATTTTGACGGAACTCATTTAGTTACGAACAAGGTGATTTGTAAAAATGCTAAGAACGGTCGCTCCGGAATCACACCTAAGAACAAATGTTTTGAAGATTTCACGGGAAAAAATTATGTGGTAGCACGTGAAAAAAAAAGAAGTTCATTAGAAGAAGATGTAGAAGAAGAAGAGGAAGGAAAAGAAAAAAAAGTTTCGGTCAAAAACGGTAACATTCAAATAGGAGAATCCTTCAGGAGAAATCAACGAAACGCTGAAAAGCAGAGTCGATTGCAGGAAAATAAACGAATTAAAATCGATCGAGATAATTATAATAATATAACAACATATTATGAATTTCATCGAAAAAACGAGGAAAAAAAAGAAGGAAAAGAAAATAACTGTAAAATCGTCGAGGACAAAACACCGAATAAAAAATTTATGAATAATAAAACCGATTCTCGTCCTTTCGATTCTTCCGACTCGCACGAAATAAATGGTGATAAAAAAATTGATAGAGTCGTTTCCAATCAATTTGGTAAATATTCAGAATTTTTAAATAAAAAAACCGTACATGATTTTTCAATGGAAGAAATAAGAAAAATTTCCGATAATCAAAGTGGTACCGAAAGTGAAAAAAGTGAAGAAATAACAAAAAATGTTAAAAAAAATTATTTTGACAATTTATCAAATTTAAAATATACAGATTTGAATGTTGATCTTCTCAAGAGAGATGCAAAAGAAAAGGATTTGACATTTGCGAAAAATAAAGATGACAAAAATAATAAGGAAATAATAGATTTCATTGATGTGAGAACTGTTTCCGCGACCGTTAAATCACTTGTAGAAAGAAGTAAAAGCGACTCGTGTAATTCGAAAAAATTTTCTAAAAAAAATTTATTAATTCATCAAAAGAGCATCGATTACACTCCGTCTAATTCAGTGGAAAAACATTTCGATCACATTGAAGAACGCGATGATGACGATTACGATGATAGATGTATAAAAAATAGTCAAAGCGAACAAGATATTTCTTATATATTACACAAGAGGCACAACAACGTAAAAGACGCTCATTCTATAATTGATTATTCTGGTTTCGATTCTCCTGAAAAAATTTCTCACGGTCAAAATTTAATCGTAAAAGAAAACGCAGGCGATAAAGTTTTTATTGAATCAGAAAAGAAAATTAATTCACGTGTACAGTCAATTTTAAACGATTCTAAAAATGCTTCTGACGCTAAAATTAAAATTCATTCTACGGATTCGATGCGAAAGAGTCACGGCAGTTGTCATAATTCGAATAAAGGCAAACTATCGAATCGGACAAATGCGGAAAAAAACAAAGTGGAACTGTTAAAAAGTTACGATGTAGAAAAATCACGGATTATGATGCAAATGGATTTTAACGTGGAAAATTCTGATAAAAAAATAAAAAGTTTGCCAAAAAAAGGTTCGATTGTAAATGAACTCGATGAAACAAGTGAATCGTCAGCGAGTAAAATATTGGAAAAATCAATTTTAACCGGACGAGATTTTCACGATAAAGAAAAGAGTTTCGTGCAAAAAATTACTGAGACTGATGCTGTTAGCAAAGATTCAAAAATAGCTAACGATTACTTTAATACTTCATTAATAACATCGCACTCTTCTTCTCATAAAATAAATATTAATGAAGAAAAAATAAAAATAAACGAAAATTTTCAATTATTAAACACGAGCAAAACTAAAATCAAAACGTCTAAAGAAACTACGACCGTAAAAACCGGAGAGGAAAATTATAATTCTAAAATTAGCTATGAAAAAAATTTACCCGAACAACGAGATAAATCGGATAAAGGTTCTCTTTTGAATAATTCGGTCCTTCAATCGGGAAAACAAAACCAAGTCAATTCCGTACAAAGACATCATGATTCCCTCATATTATTTTCTAAAACACGTTTAGGATTATCCGAAGGTTCCGCTTTCATTCACATGTATCGCGATAGACAATCAACATCGTTGATAACTTCGAAGCGAACGAAATCCCTCGATGCCCCATATATTAGAGTTCAGCGTTTGCCACCGGTGGATGCTTTTTCAAGTAAAGACGACACGGTCGAGAGCAGTGAGATAGACATTGTTGTTTCGAATGAAAAAATTAAACTTGCTAAAAAGAATGCAACAGCGGAAGTGTTGGAAAAAAAAGATGAAGGGATCATTCCGAAAACTGATGTTGACATTTTGAAAAATTCAAAAGCGTCGGAAAATAATAAAAATATATCTCCAGGTCAACGCGAAATATCAATTACGAACGTGATTGCGACCGATTTTGTGAAAGATGAAAACTTGGCCACGAAAATAAACGTTCTCGATGAGGTTGATACATACGCGAAGAATGATAAGAGTTCTAAAATGAATTTTGAGTCTTGCATACCGGAAGACAGGTTGGTTAATTTACCAGAGTCGGTACGCTTTCCCTCTGTGCGACAAATATCAGGTCAAACATCGGAAGAATCCGCGGATGGATGGGAGCAGAAAACCGTCAAAGTTAAACGCCGATTGCCCCGACGATCGCTATTAAGAGGTGAATCGGATTCTGGAATTCGTAAAGGCATTATACAGAATAATAAACAAGATTTTTTAATAGACGATGAGGTATGGGAAAGCGATTCAGTTGAAAATTGGAAACCAGCCGATAAGTCTATGCCCATGGAGTACATGAAAAGAGGAAGTTGCGGTCAAAGCATCGACGACGACAATTTAAGCACTCCAATTAAAGAAAGTAGTCCGGAACATTGGGTTTCAGTCGATGATTTGCCGGAAGCTTTAGAGAGAGAAGAAAAATTATTGCAGCAAAAGGAAAATGTGTTGAAAGGAAAAATCCTTAACGAAAAAATTAAAAGAGAATTAAATTTGGAGGGTTTGCATGATTTTGAAAAGATTTATTTTACTAAATGCACTTCCGGGTATTGGACCACGAGTAGTGACAATGAAAAGCTGACAATGAAAGATAAATTTAAATGCTGTAGTTTGGATACGTACGAATTATCGGAGAAAAAATTCGAGGAAAGTGAAAAAAGCAAATATTGGAGTTTTGATGAGGATTTTTTAATGGAAGAATCCCCTAAAGATTATTTTTATCCCGTCAAAAATTTTGAAAAAAAAGATTTTGATAAATTTAATAACGTTTTATTCGGGCAAAATAATATGGATTGCATTCAATGTAACGGAGTTAATAACGTGAGCGTTAGTGAAGAATGCGAAAATGATGATGAATTGGAAGAATTTTTCATGGTGCTGGGTGAAAATTTGGAAATGGAAGATGAATTTAAGAATCTCATTTGGGAAAAAGCAGATGATTTGAACAGATCCATTTCTAAAGAAGGAAGTATAATATCCGTTCCCGATCAGTTTAAGGACGTCGATGAAAGCGTGAGTACCTCTAACAAAAAACAAAACGATTTTGCTTCCGGTACAAGAGAAAATAGTCTACGAACTTCAAACGATGATTCTTCTATTCTGCCTAAAAATTCTCCATCCGAAGACATTTTATCATTAAGTGGAGACAACGAATTAATATCTTACATTGCCACGGAAACGAAAGATCTCGATAAATATGGTGAAGTTACGGCCGAGGAAAATTGTCAACATTTTCAGCAACATCCGCGACAAGATGTTAATACTATTTATTCACTAGAAAATTGTAAAAAGGACGAAAAATATTTGTCGGAAAAACGTGAGAGAATTCTTTCCGATAAAGATACTGTTGCTGCGACCAAATATCAGGTTTTGAGCTCGGAAGAAACAAGGCGAAAAAGAGCATCCTTGACAAAACAATGTTCCGTAGGTGGTGATAGTTTCTCAGATAAATTAGACGGTGAAGGATTTCGTTCTTCTTTTGAGAACGATGACGACAAAGAAGTTTTCGAATCAGAACCAAATACTTTTGATGCAAACCTTTCATCATCGGGAATTTCATTGGAACGCCGCGACGAAAACATAATTAATAATACGCTCGCAGACAAATCGGGAGAAATAAATGAAATAATTACTGATAATAAAGGTTTCGATTACAAAGAAGACAATTATTTTCAAAAGGAAACAGATTGCACGGAAAACGTTATTAAAATTAAATCGGATGGAGAGAAAACGGTTGCGGAAATAAATGCGGAGAATACTATGGGAACGTTGAACGATGATGTGAGTGATGTTAGTTTATTGAAAAGGTGCGAAGACGCGGTCGAGTCGCATAAATCTACGAAGAGATCTGATGAGTACGAAGACGAATGCAACGTTCGGACCGCGGCAACCGAAGAACGTCCGATTTTAAAAGGCACAGCTCCTCGTGAAAATTTTAATGATAATCTCGGCACCTTACCTGAATTTGAATCCGACACTAACGAATCATTAGATGCGCTCGCCTCATATTATTTGCAAGAAAGGCAGTACGACACTTTTAAATGCGATAGCAATCAAAGCAGCAACTTGGACAGTTCTCACGACAGCGATATTGAAAAACTGAGTGAAATCACTTTCGTTTCCCGCGTGCAAAATCAAATATCGAAAAGAAACCTCTCCGAAACTGGAAAATCGTTGAAATTAGAAGAGTTTGACATTGTTAAATATAAGGAAAGGCTTGAATCTAATTATGCTTATAATAAGAAATCAGAAAAAGAAAATATGGAGTCAAAGAGTTTCGAAGATGTAGAAAAATCAGAGAGTTCTTCTTTTGACGGAAAATTGAACGCGAATCAAGATCAGAGCGTATTTAAAAATAATAAGAGCCCCGCGGTGCATTTTTCATCCGTTGAAAAGACAAAAAATGATTCTTCCGGAGTTACGGGGAAAAAGAAAAGATTTGATTTAGATAAACGTGACAGCGGAGAAGAAGGATCAAGTTCATCGAGCGCTCCTCTCTGTCCCAAACGGGAATTGTCATCCACGTGGAAGCCTTTCCTTTTAGAAAGTTCCGGATCGAGCAGCTTAGAAGAATGTTGGATTCCTCCCGATGATAGTGCCAACCTTGCGGACGAAGAAGAAACCAGTAGCACTTCGATAAATCAGCCAGACGACTTGGAACTATCCGCCGGGTTCGGCCATTCGCTTTTAACAAAGACAAACGCCGAAATAATAATAGGGGGTTTTAACAGCGGCTACATTTTGTCACGGACGCTGAGTAGAATAAGCGAAAGGTCGACTTCGGATCTCGAACGAAGCGATTTCGAAGATGACTATTCAAAACCTAGTTCGCACTCCCCGAGTTTCGAGGAAGAAAGCATGCTCTCAAGTGATCATCAGCCTAGTTTATCGAGCGATCCTCCATCGTATAGAGACAACGCGTTAAAAATTTCAGAATTGCCTGAAGATTTGGTTTTCACGTCGGAAAATGCAATCGATGTCGAAAATAAATCAAAAGTTTACGAGCCGTTCGAGGGTTCGATTCCTCCTCCACTTCCGGACTCTTCGTGGCATTCTTCCGATTCTAATTTATTTTGTCTATCGGACGCAAATAACGTTCAAACTGTTTATTCGGAAATATATCCAGAAGAAGCTTCCAAGGTATTGGTGTCGGATTCGCGTAACAACGAAAACGCGAGTTCTTCGGATGAAAATCGCACTTCACAGGAAGAGGAGGAGGAAGAAGAAGACGAAGAAGGAGGAGGAGAAGAAGAAGGAGAAGGAGATTATTTGAACCACTCAAGTGATAATATATCCGCATCGACGACGACCACAACTCAAGAAGGAACAGTCCTTGCTATTTTGAGGCGTAAAAGTTTAAGAACAGGATCTCTAAGCGAGGATACTTCGGCAATATCGATATCCGATAGATCGAATTCTACGGGCGCGAAGGTTTTGACCGGTTCCGGCATAAACAACAAATCGGATAATTATTCCGAATGGTCGAAAAATTCGAAAAAGAAAACCAACAAAATTAATTTCGATCAAGGGATGAGCCAGGAAACAACATCCGATGGATTTACAGTTAAACTGTCTCACGGAAAAGATCAGCAAAAGAGTAATAATCAAATTATTGCGTCATCATCTTCGTCGTCGCCATCGTCATCGTCGCCTAAAGACGTATTCGTTTCTCAAACGGAAGAAGGAAATCATCAGAATCCTAATAAAACGGTTAAAATGAAAACTTTGGCACTGAGGAGTCCAACGGGGAAAATAATTAATTTTTTCGAAACTCCCATATCGAAAATATTAAGTCCAACATCTCAGAGTAAATTTTTCGATGGATCGGACAACAGCGGCGGTGGCGGTGGCAGCAGCACGAGGAGAAATTTTAAAAACGATGATATCTCACGTTCGGAACCAGCCCCTTCAAATTTTAAAACAAGTAAAAAATATTTTGAGAGTCACGCGTGTTCGAGCTTTCAAGAAACATTGAAGGGAGATAGAACGGAAAACAGAGTCATCAAAACACAGGGGGGACCCCGGACACCGTATTATTCTAATTTTTCAGATTTTTCCGAAAAGAATTTTTTCGAGAGAAGCCAACCGGAAATTGAGGATAAGACAAAATTAATTAGTTATAGAAAATGTCGTTCGTATAATTTCATGTCTAAAACGTATCCGGAAGAAGAAGAAAGTTCAAATAGCGATATATCGCAATATTCAACGTCGAACACGATACCGAGAGCGTCGAAAAAAATTAAAAAAAAACCTCGGGCCGCAGTAAAAGCGAAAAATAAACTTTAATAATCGAAAAAAAAAAAAAACTTGTGTAAATAAATCTAGTATATAAATTTAATCGGTTGATAATTTATTTTAAATTATTTTTTTTGTTACTTATGTAAATGATACGAGTCTGAAACGAAAAATTGAAAGAAAAGAAAGGGGGGGAGGGGTATGAATACAGATTATGTAAAAATATTTTAATATTCCCAATCGTCACACACATTCGAGTAAACTATGTACCTCTTGATATTGTTATTATTATTATTATTTTTACATAAGTTTGTGATTGGTTTTATTATTATTATTATTATTATTTTTTAGAATCGGAAAAGGTGAAAATGTGGGCTGTGCTGCATATATAAATAAATATGCAATCTAAAAAGATTATTCTTTTTTTTTTTTTTTTTTTTTTTTTTTTTAAGTGACTTTATTAATCAATAAATACAATCATAGTCTCATTAATTTTCGTTCTGTAATAATAATAATAATTTATTTTTTTTATTAATACCCGGTTTGGTAAAAACATTATTAACATAAAGTTTTTATCATTTGCCTAAATATATATATATATATATATATATATATATATATATTTATTAATGTAATTTTTTTGTGATAAATATTCATTTATTAAAATTATTTTAATAGATAAATAAATGTTAACAACGATTTATTATTGTTCTATTAATTACAATAAAACTTATTATTATTATTAACAATATTTAAAAAAATTATTCCTTTTGATTAAAATTTAATTTTAATTAAACAATAAGTATTTGATGTAATGACATAACTCTTATTTTTATTTCTTTGTCGGTGTTTTTAATATTTAAATTTTTTCTTAATTGAATTGAATTATTGATTATTGATTATTTTTAACCGAGTTTTTAATAATTTTTGTAAAGGGGAAGTGGAAGTGAAAGGGGAAGGGGGAAAAAAATATTTTAATTAACTTTTTTTCTTTTCTTTTTTCTTTTCAATCAAATTAATATAATTGTCGTGAGTAATTTTATATTTATGTGAGATTATTACTATTATTCTTTTTTTTTTTTCTTTAAGCATGATTAATTATTAAATTAAAATTGTTTTTTATTGTAAAATATGTATTAGAAATACCCAAAAATGAAAAATTTTCTCATAAACTTTTATTTATTTATTTTTTTTTTAGAATTATCGGAAAATTGTTCAAAAAGTTTAACGGATGTTTCGGGGGATAATATTGTTAATCCGATATGTTCAACCCCGTTGCAAAATGGAAGAACAAATGATGAATCAAATTTAAGGTAACCTAATCAATTTTTTGAGTTTTTCAAATAATATAATTAATTTTCTAATTTAATGATTACTTATTTTTTATTTATTTAAAGCGATGTCTTGTCTCAAGTGAATAATTCTATGAAAGATCGTTGTGAAAAAATAATGAAAACTTCAGATAATGATGAAAATCATTCGATTTCAATAAATGATAGCAACAATGATGGTTCGATTAGTATTTCAAAAAATTTACAATCGAGTAAAACATTTGATGATACTACCATTTCGAACTCTCATAAAAACAACGTATTGAATAATATCAACAACAACAACAACATTAATAATAATATAAATAATAATACTGATTCCGACATAAAAGTAAACGAATCCGAATCGAAGAAAAAACGTTATAATGCAGACAAAGGTTATTTTATGATAAAAGAACTTTTGTCCACCGAAAGAACGTACAAGAAAAATTTGGAAGTTATTAACAAAGTAAGTTATTTTTCTCTTTTCCCTAACTACCTTTAACAATATTATTATTATTATTTTTTGTTTTTTTAGTGGTTTCACGATGAAGTATCGAAATCTGAAGACGATATGCCAGACGATGTTTTAAATGGACTCTTCAATTTATTTGATCCATTAAATATAGCACATTCTCAATTTTTAAAGGATTTAGAACATAGAATGGCTACGTGGGAAGGAAAAAGCAATAATATTCCAAAAAGAGAAATACAACAAATCGGAGAATTAATACTTAATCATTTTAACATTTTACCGGTTCGTTTTTCTCTTGGAATAAAACTCCCCTAATATCTCCATTTAATATTTTTATTTCTTTCTTTTTTTTTTTTTTTTTTCAGTTGTACGTTAAATATTTGGATAAACATCTTCTTATTCTCGAAAGATTGGATGCTGCTTTTAGAAAAAATAAAAAATTTGAGATTTTGTATCGGGATTTTGAACTTCAAAGAGTTTGTTACCTTCCATTATCGTCATTTATAATGAAACCACTTCAAAAGTTAATTCATTACAATAGTTTATTGCAACGTGAGTTTATTTTAAAATTATTATTATTATTATTATTTTTCATTACTCCTGGGATTTTTTTATTTTCTATCTTTTTTCCATTTCAACGACAGGAATGATTATGCATTACGGACCTGATTATTCGGATTATAAAGATTTTTCAATAGCTCAAAAGAAATTACAACCGGTTTTAGAAAATATATCAACCGTATTGAGAGTTTCGGTAAATTATTACTTATTCTTTATTTTAATTTCACTCTTAAAAAAAAAAAAAATATATATATATATAAAGAATATTTTTATTTTAATCATTTAAGAATGATTGATTGATTAATTAAAATAAATAATTTATAGGAAAACTTTGTACAATTGAGCGAACTACAAAGAGACATGCCGAGTTTTGAAGGCCTTCTTCAAGGGGGAAGAGAATTTATCAGACAAGGTTGTTTATTAAAACATTCGAAAAAAGGATTTCAACAGAGAATGTTTTTCTTGGTAATAATTAACATGTTAATTTCCCACACACGCACATCCCCCCGCCTCTCCCACTTTAAAAATTTTTTTTTTTTTTTTTAGTTTTCGGACATTTTAGTTTATTCAAACAGATGTACGACTCCAAGTCTTCAGTTTAAAGTCAACGGTCAAATGCCATTGAGAGGCGTAATGATCGAACAATCGGACGATAAAATGGGAACAAATTTTACTTTTACTATTTACGGTGGAAACAGGTACAATTTATTTAATAAATATTGTTATGACAATCGAGAGTTGGCTCTACGAGTAAAATTATTATTATTTTTTGTTGGTAGAACTTTGATCGTGGCAGCAAGCAGTCAAGAAGAAAAAGAAAGATGGTTGGAAGATTTATACGAGGCTGTTCAAAATGCGAGAGAAAAAAACGATGGAAAAACATTAAAATATTTGAGTTTGAAATCTTGCAGTGAGTATAATAATAATAAAAAAAAAAAAAAAATGATTCATCCGAGGTAGGAGGAGGAAGACAATTAATTAAAAATTAAAATTAATTATTTGAGGTTCGTCGGACGAAGTAATTGATAAAGTCGACGATGAGGGAAATTTAAATCGAAATAATAAAAATTCTCAACAGAGAAGCAACACGACGGTTCACGTTTGCTGGCATAGAAACACGTCGACCAGCATCGGGGATCATTTGAAATCCTACGAAAACGAATTGAGTGGATTTTTATTGAGAAAATTTAAAAATTCAAACGGTTGGCAAAAATTGTGGGTCGTTTTTACTAATTTTTGTTTGTTTTTTTATAAAGCTTATTTGGTGAGTATAGTAGTAGTAGTAATAATGAGAAAAATAAAGAAAATGATGAAAAATAATAATAATTATGATGATGATGATACTACAGGACGAGTCTCCATTGGCTAGCCTTCCACTTTTGGGTTACAGTATAACGATTCCAGAAGAAGAAGACGAAATAAAAAAGGATTATGTTTTTAAACTTCAATTTAAAAATCACGTTTATTTTTTCAGAGCGGAAAGTGATTACACGTTTTCAAGGTAAATTCATTACTACAGTCTTTGATTGATTGATTAAATTTTATCGTGTTCAATACGGTTGAAATACAATTAAGAATTTTTTTTTTTAATCGAATGCAAAAAATAAAGAGAGAGAGAGAGAGAGAGAAAAGGAAAGGAAAAGAAAAATTCCATAGTAATTATTTAAATGGAAAAAAAAAAAAAAATTAAATAACGTTTGACTTTGTTTAGTTAATTAATTAGTAATTAGTATTATTATTATTATTATTAATGATATTTTTCTAGGTGGATGGAAGTAATAAGGAGTTCGACAAAAAACACATTTAACAACGTAAATAATTATTAAATATTTCTTTTTCTTTTTCCTTTTTTTTTTTTTTTTTTTTTTTTGTTCAATGTAGGTAATTAATTAATTTTTGGGGGTTTATTTTAATTTATTTTTATTATTATTATTATTATTATTATTATTTAACATCCGATGGTTTTTTTTTTTTTTTTAAACTAAAATAATTATTATTATTATTATAAGGAGAAAGCATTTAGAATGAATTAGATTGTTGTAAATTAGATTTGAACATAGTTTATTTATTAGTTTTATTAGTTTTATTTTTTTTATTTTTATTTTATTTTATTTTTATTCTTCGTCCTTGTTTCTATTGTAACCTGTTTTTTTTTTTTCAACAAAATTATACATATATATATATATTAATGATGAGTGTGAGTGTGCGCGTGCGTGTACCGTAATCCCGTCTAAGATGAATGAATTAATACGTTATTGTTAATAAAATTTATTATTATTATTATTATTATTATTAGGTTTAATTTTTTAAATAAATACATTTATCATTATTATTATCATCATCATCATTTTATTTTTTTATTTTTAAATCACATGAATGACAAACAAACAAACAAACACAAACACTTTCACGCTCGAGCAAAACACAATCAAACAACAACAACAACAAAACATTCAAATATGTAAACTTGATAAATTAAAAAAAAAAGACAACATCTACTCTTCCCTTCGTTTGAGGAGAGAGAGAGAGAGAGAGAGATAGAGAGAGAGAAGCAGCAGATGTTTTTGTCTCTAATTAAAATTATCATTATTATTTATAATCGATCATTTAATTTTGTTACCACGTGAAATTTAATTTTTTTTTTTTTTTTTACCTGTTTGAACAAACGAAAATTTTAAAATGCCCTCGATTATTATTATTATTTTTTAAAATGGTAAACCGAGAGAGAGAGAAAGAGTACAAACAGTTTGAACAATTATGTTTAAAAACATAATGAATGTAACTGTGTACCTTAATGGAAAAACGTTATATAAACCATTTACTACTCTTAAACAAACGAATCTTCGGATGTTTTTTTTTTTTTTTTTTTTAAGGATAAAAAATTTTTAATATTTTATGTTATTAGTAAAAATTTCTATCCTTCGGATTTCATTATTATTATTATTAATAATTACTTTTGATTATTTATTCGTCGTATAGTTAAAAAAAAAAAAAAAATGAAAAATTTTGTGAGTTATTACTTTTTAATATTTAACCCGCGTTTTTAACGGTAAGAAAACCTTGATGCCAACTCGAGATGTTATATAGAAAACCATCAGGTAAGATTTTTTTTATAACTTGGCAAATGGTATTTTTAAATAATAAATTCTTGGTTGTTTGCAGTTTCGATTCAACAATCGACTCCAGTTTTTGTGTTTTTTTTTTTTTTCTTTTTTTTATTTTTAAATTATATTATATTATATGTGTTGTGTCGGATTTGGTAGCGTTTAGATTTTTCTCTTTTTTTTTTTTTTATTTCAACAAATGGATTTTTATGGAAAGAAAAGAAAAGGAAAGGAAAAAAGCTGAACAACCTGGAGTCACAACATAGTTTTATATAAAACGTTATTATTATTATTATTACTACAACTACAAGTGCTACTACCAATTACAAGAGTGAAATATTAAAAAAAAAGAAAAAATTTTATTTCTTATTAATAATCAGGTAAATTATTATTATTATTTGATTTTAAATTTTTTTCTAAAAAATATTTTTCGGTTTTTGTTTTAACCATCGCATTCTCCTTATTAATTATTATTATTATTATTATGATTTATTTTGACGTCATTTTTTTTTCTTTAATATGTTTAATGATGATTTTAATGGTTCTCGTTTTGTGCGTCGTCTAAATTTCAAAGTTCTAAATTTTTTTTTAAACGTAGTAATAAAAAATTACATAATTAAAAATCTCTTTTTCTTCGTTTTCTTTTTATAATTGGGGGGGGGGGGCAAAATTTTTTTTGTATTTTTGAGTGAGTGAATGTGCGCGTCTTCTACTGGATAATTTTACTCATTCCAGGTTCGTTCGCAATGTTAAAATATTTCATTTAATTTTTTCTCTCTCTCTCTCTCTCTCTCTTTCTCACGTTTAGTTTTCATCAATTGAATTTCATTGGTGCGGTTTTGTCATTTTTATTTATTATAGAATTTATACAAGAACTAGTAATAATAATGATAATAATGTGAATGAACCGACGAACGTAACAAGAGAAAGTAAAAAAAAAAAAAAAATCTCAAACAGATCCAGGAGGGTACAATTTGATGGATGAAAATTTTAAATAATTTCATCGATTATCATTATTATTATTATTAAATATTCGTAATGAAAATTTTCATAAGGTTTCTCTCTCTCTCTGTCTCATTTAGCACATTTTAATTTACCTCGTTATTACGTAAAAAGTCATTTAATTCAAGTTTTTACTCGATATGAAAAGTAATAAAAAAATGATAAAAATAATAATAATAATAATAATAATATTACGTCTCGTTCATAAGTGAAAACGCGTAAAAATTCATTTTGTCATTATTATTATTATGTTTTGATTTGATATTTTCCGGTTTTCTACGGTCACCTTATTATTATTATTATTAGTTTTATTTTTTTTTTTGGAAATTCGATCATGGTCCTCACACACGCACACGCGTTTTTCTTTTTTTTTTTAATTGTAACGAAAGATTTATATAAATTTAAAATTTTTTTTTTATTTTATATATTTAATTAATTAATTTATTTAAAAAAAAAAAAAAACTTCCTACTCACCTTGAAAAAAATTTTTTTTTTTTTTACTTCATATTAAAATATTTATGTATAAAAAATGCGGTTATATTAACTTTTTTTTTTTTACGTCAATTATTCGAGAAAAAAAAATTATTTTAAATAAATTATCCTTATTTTTTCCGTCTCTCCAAAATTTTAATAAATAATAATAATAATGATAAATTTTAACGGGTTGAGAGGGGGTAGGGGAGAGGAGGGAAAATTAAAAAAATTACATTTATATGTTGTTTGTTGTTGTCGTGTTACGTCATTAAAACTTTCTAAAAACTTTATATATATTGCGTAAAAATCATGTAACAAATATTATGTATTTATTTATTTTATTTATCACCACGTGGGTATTTCTGGATTTATTTATTTATGTTTCAGGTAGAGTAATAAGTTGTCAAAGTTTGAATAAAGTCATTTTAATTTGAGTTATTCGAAGAAGAAGAAGAAGAAGGAAAAAAGGGGATTTGAAGTTTGATTGAAATAAACATGGAAATTTCAGTTTTGAATTTTTTTTTTTAAAAAAGCATGACAAACAACATGACAGATGAATTATTCACATCTTTTAATGTTTGATTATTGACGTTATTAAATATTAAAAAAAAAAAAAAAAAATGATTGACATGTCTCAAACAAACGAATCAAGGCTCTCTTTCAAAGAAGAACAAGAAGATGAAGATGAAGATGAAGGAGCAGAAAAAGATGGAATTGATGACGATTGGTTAGAAACATTATTAAAAAATTCCATGATAAATAATTCAAAAGACGCACAGGATAAAACGTCCGAAACAGGTAAGATAAAAACAACAACAGGAAACAGGAATTTATTTCGTGCGTATAATATAAATTTGGATGGATGGAATATGTGATAACACGTGTGTATCATACATACGTGTTTACGTATGTTGTTAATGAAAAAAAATTTGCCCTAGGTTAAATTACGTACATACATAAATAAATATTAATTATTTATTTTTGAATTATGGCCTTTTCATTTAAATCAATATTATTAATTCATTCGCGTTTAAAATTTATTATTATTATTATTGATGACTTTAAAGTTAATTTTTACTCTCGAAGAAAAAAAATATGGACGCTTCATAAAATTCGTATTTTCTTCAATATTAATTTCGTATTGGGATTTGTTGGCTTCACAACATTTGTATTTGTTTATATCGAAAAGTGAATGAACCCGCCGCCATATTGATGTAATTGAGTACTATTTATGAGTACCCCTTTTCCCGTTACCACCATGCCTTGGTCTGACATTCTCCAAGGCGAAATTCTAATAGTTTAAAGACTTTATTTTGCGTCTTTAATTATAAATGTCTTTTATTTTTTTTTGGTAATTAAAAGATCGATGGTTTCTAATGTTGTCTTTGAAATTTCATTATTATTATTATTATTATTATTTGATTACCGTAATCGTGTAAATAAATGATTTGATATTTTATTTTTCGTTGCATAATCAGTTTCTCTTGTGCTCTTCTTTTATATCATTATCATATATGATGATGAATTTGTTATAAATTTTTTATTTTTTTTTTATTTTCCAGGTGGATTTGCTCATGGTGAAATCCCTCTCTTGTGTGAAGATGATTTAGATTTTAAAGAAAAAACAATAAGAACCTTAAGGGTGGGCTTTAAGAAAATGTGGAAAAGAGGATCGGCAACAATAACGGCTGAAGATCCAACATATAAAGTTTCATATTTAGGAAACGTTCTTACTGGTTTAGCCAAAGGTAACACGCACTCACGCACGCACATTATTATGTACATGTATATATTACGTATGTTAAATTTTTATATTGAAAAATCAATTTGTGCGGTCGTTAAAAGTTAATTTATTATTATTATTAATTTTAATTACAATCGCTGGTATTATCCCATGCGAATAAGTCCTTTGTACTTTGTGACGGGTTTTTTTTTTTTTTTTTTCTAACTCGTTTTTGGTTCCAACTCGATTTTCTTTTCATTTCGATTTTTCCGATACTTTTTATATATGCATGCTTTTTTTTTAATCAAAACCAATTAAATTCAATCAATAAGTGATTGAATTTAGTATTCCACAATAGAATAAAGGGACCACACGATGGCATGTGAACCACGACAACGTAAAACCTCGATAATGTTTTCAAGGTGATATTTAATAATAAATAATGTCGATTGTTAACAAAAAAAAATCCAAATAAATAATGGGGCGTGTAAAAAATAAAATTAGTAAAAATCTCTAGCTTGACACGTTTTTGTATTTAATATTATTATAAATTGTTGATATTTAGTTAATACAATACCGTTACTTTTTTTTTGATTGTAAACAAATGTGTTTGAATCAATGTCATTGATAATAATAATAATAAAAAACATGTGATATACAAGTACGTAAAACCATGAATGAAAATGAAACTTTGTTAGAGTCTAAGGTTGCTTTATTTATAATCGTTAATCGTTATAATTTTTGTATCCATTTCAGGCGAGGGTTGCATTGAAAAACCTCTCAACACTTTATGGAAAAACTATAACGAATCCTTAAAACCGAGCATTCAAATGAAAATAAAAGTAACACAATCCGGTCTCAAGGCCGTTACGAAAGATCACGGTCTAATAGAATATTGGTCTCACAGGATAACCTTTTGCACCGTACCTCCAGAATTCCCGAATATTTTTTGCTGGATCTATCGTCACGAAGGCCGAAAATTAAAACAAGAGCTTAGATGTCACGCAGTTTTATGCTCAAAAGAATCCGTTGCTTCGAAAATGTCCGACACGCTTAAAACGCGTTTGACTCAAGCCTTGGTAGAATTCAAAAGGGATAAATTACTTCGTCAAAATGCGAGATTATCCCTTGTTAATTCGGTTTACGATAATCCTTCATTGCCAAAGAGAAAAATACTTTTATCTACGGGTTGTCACAATTATAAGCCTCCGATTGAAAGATCTAAATCGGCACCAAAGCTCATGTCGATCGAGGAAAGCTCAGAAGAGGAAGAAGAAGTAGATGTAGAAGAAGAAGGAGAAGAAGACAATAATTCATACAAAGTTAAAACGGATGATGATAAAATTATCGGAAACGATGAATATTATTATTATTATTATCATCATTTCGATCGTACGGATAATAAAAAGAAAAATGATATATTAAACGATTTAAAAAGGAAAGTATCCGATGATGGTAATAAATCCGATTATAAGCTCGCAAATTTAAGTTTTGTTAAAAAATTATGTTCGAGCATAGAAAACTTAGTGGAAAGTACAAGTAATTACAGTAGAAAATTTTTCACCGAAAGAAAATCCAACAGGGAAACAAGTTATGTAACAATAAAAAATTCTGATGGTTTAAAATCTAAAAAAAATAAAGTAAACAAAAAAGAAGAAGAAGAAGGAGATGAGGAGGAAGAAGAGGAGGAGGATGTGGAGGAGAAGGAGAAGGAAACTTTGAAATTTTTTAAATTTAAAATAAATAATCGTTTATTAACTAGAGAAAATTCTAGAAAAATTTCTTGTTCAGAATCAGGAAAAAAGTTAGATAATAATAGTATTAGTGAAATTAATTTAAAAAGTAGTAAAATGAACGTGAATAACGAAGGATGTAATATCGATGATTTCAAATCGAAATTTATTCAAAATTTATCATCGTCAAATTGTCGGATAACAAGTGATAAAAAAGACATTTTTTTTACATCTGATAATAATTCTAATCCCGTTGTGGTAACCTCTGTAAAAAATTTCAACGGTAACACAATAGAAAGGTTACCAAATTATTTAAGTACCGGTAAATCGTTACCGGAAGGTAAAATTGTTGTTTTTAATTGCGATTGTCAGGATAGTCAGGATTCATCTCCTCCATTGGTAAATAACGGACAAGAAGTAGTCGTTTCTCTTGACGATGATGATGATGATAATAATAAATGCGTACAATTAACTGATGATTTATTAGTTCAAAAACTCACTAGTTTAGATGTTCCTTATCATAAAATAATTAAATCGACGGCACTTAGCGAAAGTAGAAAATTTCATTCTTCCTGTCTTCAGATATGAATTTATTTTTAAGCATTTATTATTATTATTTTTAATAAAAAAAAAAAAAAAGACTGAAAAATTGAGTGAAAAGGTCTTAATGAAAAAATTCTCACGCAAAGGGATATCCCGGGGGGAAGGGAGGAGGGAAATTAAATTTTAATTTTAAATTGAAAATAGTACAATTACAAAATTTTTCTTTTAACCCAGTTAAAAAATGGCAAATAAATAAATTCTAAATTTTTTTCGCGTAATAAAATAATTACAATAATATTAATAATAAAAAAAAACTTATGATTATTATTATTAACAATAATATTATTATTATTATTTGTTATTGTTATTGTTATTGTTGTTGTTGTAATTGTTTTTTTTTTTTTTTTTTATCATCGTCGTTGTTAAATAGTAAGAAGAAAAAAAATTCGTTTTTTTTTCGGAATTAAAATTAAAAATTTAACATCACAAAATAAATAAAAAAATTTTTTTTTGTGCCATAAAATATATATTTTTTTTAATATTATTATTATTACAATTGATTGATTGTTTTTTTTTTACTTCCGTTAAAATATTTTACAAATTTATATATAATTTATATGACGAATTTTCTAAAAAAATAAAATTTAATTAATAAACAAACGGACGCCAAATACGTTCAGAAAAAATAAATAAATTTTATTAAAAATTTGTCGATTATTATTATTATCCACCAGGTTAAAAGATTTTATTTTCATGCAGGTAAACATTAAAAAAAAAAAAAAAAACAATCAATTTTCATTTTACACAGACTTGATTCTACCTTTAAAAAAATTAATTAATAAATAAATAAAATAATGTAAATAATATATATTTAAATGGGAAATAAATAATGACCCATATTATATTAAAATTACAATATGCACATTAATTATAAAAATACACGATTTTTATATTAGAAATGTTATTAATAATAATAATAATATCGCGACACAAAACTGTTAAGAAAAATATTAAAAAAATTGATGAAGCTTAATTTATCAATTATTTTAAAAAAAAAAAAAAAAAAAAAAAAAAAGGTTTACGACGATGATAATAATTTTGCTGTGGAATTATCGTAATGTGTGGATTGAGTAGTAAATCCAAA